ACCTTGTTAAATTTATTGCATTAGTGGCTTTATATTTTTCTTGCACTAGTCACTTTTCTCAAGTGGACATAGACATTGATCTGCACATTTTGGGCTCCGTGTAGCAGAATGTTTACAAGTTACATGAGCACAATCCGCCAAAGTAGGAAAAAGATGATGTCTTCACTATCGGTTATTCGTAGGCTCTTGGTAGCTTTCACTATCGTCTATACCAGGGGTCTCCAAACTTTTCAGTCCGAGGGCCGCATTACCTATCAAATTTCAGTTCGGGGGCCAGTTTCCTCAAGGCATGTCTTTGATTTTTCTGGGCAAAGTTCCTCAGCCATCACCATTCCTTGGACAAAAAGATCTCCGCGGGCCGGATGAGAGGACTTCGAGGGCTGCATCCGGCCCGCGGGCTGTAGTTTTGGAGACCCCTGTACAAGATCGTCTCTATCGAAGTTCTTGAACAAAGACATCAATCCCCTTTATGAAGTAACGTTTATGTTGTAGTATCCTGATCTCTTAATTGACAGGTGTGTTCTTACCTCGATGGTTCTGGTGTGTCATTCAACTCACTATCAAATGTGACATTTGAACGTTAATAAAATTAATAAAACACAACCTGATTATAAATAAGGATTGAACATTTCATCGAGAAAAAAACTTAAAATTAAACTACTGTAGTATTATGTTGTGAAATGCATGCACTTGTTCCATGCTTTAAATATTTGATCAAAATAAAATGCAAAAAAAAAAATATTCAAAATGTCAGCTATTTTAGTATTGTTTGTCGTCAACTCTTCCTTTCTACCCCCCCCCCCCCTTTCCAATCTTCCTATCAACCATACGTCTGTCGAATATTCATGCGCTAGCTGTAGAGATCGACGTGACGGCCTTGGTCTGTTTAGTAGAGAGTAGGCTATGTGTTTAATGATAGTGTTAATAGTGGCTAGACTAGGGACAAACGTGGTACTTGAAAAGAAGCGTTAGAAGTTGTGTGTGTGTGTGTGTGGGAGGGGGGGGTGTCGGGGTGAATTTTGAAAGCTCAAAAATGGCTGACTAAATTACATGTCAATAAGGCAGAGTATTTACTTTATATGCATGTTTATAAATGCATATGTATAATTTATGTATGGATGTAATACATTTATGTATATTAGTGTATGTATGCATGTATATATATATATATATATATATATATATATATATATATATATATATATATATATATATATGTATATATATATATATATATATATATATATGGTTCCATGACAAATGATCTCAGGACAAATGATCTCAGACAAAATATCTCAGACAAAATATTTCACGGACAAATGATCTCAAGACAAATGATCTCAGGACAAAAGATCTCAAGGACAAATGATCTCACGGACAAAAGATACCAGGACAAAATATATCAGGACAAATGATATCATGGACAAATGATCTCAGACAAAATATCTCAGACAAAATATCTCACAGCAAAATTTTAATAGTCTATTGAATGATTTTAGTTGATCTGAACATTTTTTTAATTGACTGTCAATATGGTTTTGTTCACTTTTCTACGCATAATAATTATGAATAAAATGAATTTGTTAAACTTAAAAAAGCATCAAAAGATTTATTAAACTTAAACTTTGTAATAGCATTTGATTTAAAAAGGAAAAATAAAAAGCAAACTTACTCCTTTAGCCTGAAAGTTTTGATAAATGATAATGTATAAAAGAAATAAAGTAAAGTTATTTATTCAACATTAATGTTCAAAACACGCGAAATATTTTTCAAAAATGTGAATGGGTCTTCAGGTTTGTAACGTAAAACTATTATTTATTGTATCATCAACACAAACATAACGTTTACGTTTCTTTGCTGGCAGGTACATCGTTATAATCACACCTTTCCAATACTATGTGATCATCTATTGTGTGAACTCTTGCTCGACATGTTTTTACTTCACATTTCCAAAGCTCTTCTCCTGCTGCTCTACTTTTGGCTTTTATATACATAAAATCACAAGAAACTAATGTCCTAAAACCTTTCTGCGAGGTAACAAAATCACCACTAATACTGTTTTGTTTGCATGCACACTACGACAAACTTAGCTCCGCGATGACCGCTGTCGTTTAACTAAGCATTTGTCACCTGATCACTAAGGTGTGACCGACGCATAACTATTGACTTTAGAGGCTAGTTGTATTATCCACCGAGGGCGGATGTCTTTCCTTTAAGGCATGTCTCTGCCGTCAAAGCGGGCGGCCACCTTGATACGAAGGTGTGTCTTTATTGTTATTTCATTCCCTTTGATCTAGTTTTGTCCACCTGACATGGTAGGATTGTCTCATTTTTGGCAAGCCCACCTACGCTATCTATCGAAAAAAAAAATTTAATCTTCGCATACTATACTTGTAATCTTAATTTTAAAATGTTAAGTGCAATATGACAAATTTATACGGCAAATATTTCTTTCACTTATTATACAGGCCTGTAAACAATATTAAACATAGTAAACAAAACCATATGACAGTCAATGAAAAAAATGTTCAGATCAACTAAAATCATCCAATACACTATTAAAATTTTGCTGTGAGATATTTTGTCTGAGATATTTTGTCTGAGATCAATTGTCCATGGTATCATTTGTCTTGATATATTTTGTCCTGGTATCTTTTGTCCGTGAGATCATTTGTCCTTGAGATCTTTTGTCCTGAGATCATTTGTCCTGAGATCATTTGTCCGTGAGATATTTTGTCTGAGATCATTTGTCCTGAGATCATTTGTCCTGTCACCATATATATATATATATATATATATATATATATATATATATATATATATATATATATATATATATATATATATATATATATCCTTCAAACCTTGCTACAACCCCACTGAAATCCCTTGACACAGTCCCCTAGGCCTACTAATATCTCCCCCCCCCCACCACACCCCCCAATCCGAAGCAAACGGAAACTGGACTATAACTTCGTTATTGAGTTAGCTTCAATCTATCTAATGTACTCTCCCATTGAATCGAGTGTATTGTTGTTGTTGTTGGGATGGGATGGGTGGGTTTTTTTGTTAAAAGTTTCAAATTAATTAGCGCATCGATTGTTATCTTAATTTAATTTTCTTGCGTGGCTTTCGAGTTGTTCTTTAGGTTTTTATTTTTTTAATAACGAAAACTAAATTAAGAATAGGATATATTTTTTTATAAATATGGAGCTTACTTTTCATTAACTTTACTTTTCAAAAAAAAAAAAATGTTCAACTAGTTTTTTTTTGTGTTTTTTTGTTGAAATGAAATATTTCAAAGACAATATTATCGTTGTTGTGTTCAAGTCGCCTATATAGAGCTAGCATAATATTATATTACATGAACTTGCTTTATGGTCAAAATGTTTACGAAATTATCCAAGTCATCTCATAGCTTGTGCATTCTTTATCGTAATTGATATGGAATTCTCGTAATGTATTCTAGTTTTCCATGTATGTTATTATCTTCCTGTCGATGACAAGTTTTCTAAGAAGGTTGCTGCTTCCGTTGTAATGTATTTTTTTCCGTCGGCGATTCTTCCTTACTCTGTTAATAATATAACGAGTCAACGGATTAGCATTATCTGCTGTTAGTACTACTGCGCGTTTAAGTTTAGATCAAGAAGCTGTTGTTTTTTTATCATAGTGATCCAAAAGTAAACAAGTTCCCTGCAAGAAAAAAGAGGGATTCGTTAAAAATGAATGCTGTTTTTTAGTTCCCTGTGATGTGTGGAAACAATGTTCCAGGGGAGTTAAAACATTGTGACCGGTACCGTACATTATTGACGGGACTGCCCCACTCGGGGTAAGATGGGCCATGAATAAGTGATAGACCCAGTGGCCAGGAAAAGGTCCCATAGAGACCAAAGATATCGGCCAATTAGGCAATTTGGCCATGAGATGTACAGTACTGGAAAGGTGAAGGAAATTACGCTGCGACGTTGTTTTTTTACTTTCTCGTAGGCCTATACGGAATATATATCACGTATTGCATTTGCAATCATGAAAAAAAAATGTAAATCGAGATTTTGACAAATCTTGACTTCATGAGCCCGAAAAAAAAACAGTTTTACAGTGTTGTTTGTCTGTGTGTGTGTATGAAATCGATAACTTAAGTATGGTTTTAGTTACGTGGACAAATTTCTACTCTTATAAGTATTAGGTCTTATTCGTGTAAGTTTCTATCAACATTTGAGCGATTTCCGGTAACCGGAAGTGGTACTTAATTTCCGATTTCCCAAAAAGCTTTAAATTTGTTACTTTGGTATCAGATTATCATAAAGGATCATGTTTCAAAAAAACGTCTTGTCTGTAGGCTATGTGCAATCTCTGTTACAAACTTATCATTTATGTAATTCGATTCGACTGGAAGTGCCATCCCAATACTTACAATCATATACCAGTATTGAGATAGTCTGGTGAAGCTTACTCACGCTTTATTTATTCTGCTTATAACTTATACCTTATAACTTGAAAGCAGTCTTGCATGTTTACAAACTCTGTACGCCTATTACATGTTTATAAATTAAGCTTATCAAATGCCCCATTCAGATAGATATACATTCTACTCAGTAACTGACATATTTAATACACTAATCACTTTAATTCATTGAATGGTTCAATAAGTATTGGTAGACAATCCCTTTTGACAACCATTTAACAAGAGATTAATATAAACATCTAACTTGAACTTCATGTAATTATGTTAACTTAGTTGTAAAGTTTTTTTTTGTTTTTTTTTTCAATTTTTGTTTTTATATAAACCAAAAATCCCAATAAACTTAAAATTTGTATTATGTAGATTAATAAGGTAATTGAATAACCACAAGTTTTTTTGTTTTTTTTTTCAAAACATCAAAATTGTTTGAGTTGATTTTCTTAAAAATATATTTATTTCATAAGCAAATTAAATAAAACTTTTACATGTTCGTTTCTAAAAAACAAAAAATTCCATTTTTTTTCTTTCTTTTCTCCAGCTAAAAAGTGTTGGGCCTAAGCTGGTACCATTTTTCAAGACCGTCTCCATCTTCTTCGTCCTGTTTGGACAGGAAGAAAGATGTTCCATCTTCTTCTGCATTGTCAAGTGTCTGCCAGTAGTCTCGCTGATCGTATTCGTCCTGCTCCACGGCATGAGCTTGGACGAGTGCTACAGATATTCCAGAAGGATCCTTATCGGGCTTGTCTTCTCCGTCATTGGAGATGCCTTCTTAGTCTGGAAGCTGTACTACAAGAACCTGGAGCTTGGCCTTCTTAGCTTTGCGATTGCGCAGTGTATGTATGCCCGAGCTTTTGGCTGGCGTCCTTTGAAACCCTACGCAGGATCCGCGTTCCTGGTTGCGGGGTTGTGTGTGTATACTTACCTCCAGTCGTACCTGCGAGGCGTGATGGTGTACCTTGCCCCGTTTTACATCACCCTGATATGTACCATGTCATGGCGTTCCGTGGCACGAGTCCATTTCTACGATGACCTCTGGACCTGGACCAAGCTCTGTGGCTGCGCCGGTGCCCTGTGCTTCCTCATCTCAGATTTGGTCATTGCCGTCAACATGTTCGCCTTCCCCGTGCCGTTTGCGCACCAGATCGTCATGTTGACGTACTACGCTGCGCAATTTGGGATCTCTCTGTCTGTAGTGGACAGCCAGGCTGATGAGCTGATTCGGATTCAGAAAAAACAATGAATGTCAAGGACTTCATTGTTTTTGTTTTTGTTTCCATCTACAGTTGAAAAGTTACAATGAATGTCAAGGACTTTGTTGTTTTTGTTTCCATCTACAGTTGAAAAGTTACAATGAATGTCAAGGACTTCATTGTTTTTGTTTTTGTTTCCATCTACAGTTGAAAAGTTGCAATGAATGTCAAGGACTTCGTTGTTTTTGTTTCCATCTACAGTTGAAAAGTTACAATGAATGTCAAGGACTTCATTGTTTTTGTTTTTGTTTCCATCTACAGTTAAAAAGTTGCAATGAATGTCAAGGACTTCGTTGTTTTTGTTTCCATCTGCAGTTGAAAAGTTACAATGAATGTCAAGGACTTTGTTGTTTTTGTTTCCATTTACAGTTGAAAAGTTACAATGAATGTCAAGGACTTCGTTGTTTTTGTTTCCATCTGCAGTTGAAAAGTTACAATGAATGTCAAGGACTTTGTTGTTTTTGTTTCCATCTGCAGTTGAAAAGTTACAATGAATGTCAAGGACTTTTTTGTTTCCGTCTACAGTTGAAAAGTTACAATGAATGTCAAGGACTTTTTTGTTTCCGTCTGCAGTTGAAAAGTTACCAGAGAATTTATTGTTTATAAATAACTTAAAAGCCGTTACTTTGGGTATTGATATCATTTTCTTTAATAATTAACATGACATGTATAGATAATGTAAATAATATCATCGTTTTTTCTTAAAGTTCTTCTATTATGTTAATCTTAACCTGGCTTTTGTTTGAAGATTATTGAATGTTTTTGGGGATCATCAATAAATGACGTCACACAGTTTTTGCAGGATTATCCTCCATCCCTACTCTTTACTAAACCATCATCCCAAAAAACCAGATGCCCCTCCCCAACATCTCCTTTAAAATAATTCTAACGAAAATTGTCATGTTTTTCAAAATTTTTACTTCTACGAAATCCAAAATATTAGCTTCATCACATTTTTCAAACTGCCCCTCCCCTTCCCCCACCAATGTTGCCTCTAAGGGGGAAAAGCTATTGTGCAAAATGTATTTTCTATAAGTCTTATACAAGGATATATTTATTTTACAAAATCACTGCGCGGCTGCTTAAAACTACTGCGAGGCAGCTCAAAACTACTGCAAGGCAGAGCAACCGCGCAGCTTAGAGGGAACATTGTCCCCCACTCATAGCCCAGTTTCATAGATTCTTTATCCTACTAGATGGAGGTTGGTGATGTCATATATTGATGACCTCTTTATCCCAATACTACTTTATAATTAAAGTTTGTTCAATGATTGGTTTTTTTTTCTGATTCGGTAATGTTCCAAACAATGCATGTGATGGAACTTGGTTAAGGTTTATCGTTAAGTTAATTGGCTTACTTCATTTACTAATATTTCACTTTGCTGGCTATCTGCAATTTCTGCAGCACTTCCTGTTTTGATTGTGATTGGTGATTACCAACTTCCTGTTTCACTCTCATGTAAGATGAAGAGTTATCTGGTTAATCAAAAGTTGTTGGTTTAAAGTGGCATTCATTACTCTTGATTTTTTTTTTTTTTTACATCTTTTTGTGTGAAAAAAATGTAGTTGAGGGCATTTGAAATAAATGTATGTTAGGTATTTACATCAGATGTGTAGGCTACATCAGATGTGTAGGCTACATCAGATGTGTAGGCTACATCAGATGTGTAGGCTACATCAGATGTGTAGGCTACATCAGATGTGTAGGCTACATCAGATGTGTAGGCTACATCAGATGTGTCAGCTATATCAAGTGTGTGCAAGAGTTGTGTACATCTGTTGTGTACATCAGAAGTATATGCCATGTGTATTATAAGACAGATGTCAGATGTGTCAGCCTTTGTTGGGCATCTGTGTCAAGCTTCTATGTCAGTTCTTTACATCTGGTGTGTACATCAGATACATATGCCAGGTGTGTCAGACGCCCATGTCAAGCGTCCATGTACTGTGTGCACATCTAGTGTGTACAACAGGAGTGTATGCCAGGTGTATGTATGTCAGATGTGTTGGACGTCATCAGATGTGTGTCAGTGGTCTATGTCAATTACTATGTCATTTGTGTACATCTAGTGTGTACAACAGGAGTGTATGCCAGGTGTATGTATGTCAGATGTGTTGGAGGTCATCAGATGTGTGTCAGTGGTCTATGTCAATTACTATGTCATTTGTGTACATCTAGTGTGTACAACAGGAGTGTATGCCAGGTGTATGTATCTCAGATGTGTTGGACGTCATCAGATGTGTCAGGGGTCTATGTCAATTTGTATGTCATGTGTGTATATCTGGTGTGTAAATGTGAGGTTTGTACTCAAGGGGACCTAATCCACATGACCTGCCAGTGGTATTTAACAATACTTCAAAAATGTACACAGTAAACAAGAATTTTTCTAGAAAAAAAACTCATGTTCTACTCAAATCAGCATTTATCTGTATATATTAAGCTCAGTCTTTTCCCCACAACATTTTCAAGTTACATACTTTTATTTGAATAACTCAGCATTTATTAATAAGAAGTTATAAAAACGTTTGTTTGACATGCTATTGGAACTTTGTAGTTTCTATGGTGTTGAATTGTATAATCAAAATAAATTTGTCTCACCATTCTTTGCCAAATCAATTTAAAATAAAAAAATTTATGGTATAAGTCCATGATAAATCCAAATAAAACCCTAGTTGGTAGAACAGGAGTTGCCAGTGTGATATTAAAATACTGAAAATGCTGATCAAGTATGGTTTTGTTTAAGTTTTTAAGTAAACTTAAGAATGGAAAAAGAATTGGTTTCTGATTGTGATTTAAAGTCCTTGTGTTGATGAGTTTTTGTTGAAATCCCGAGTGTCATTCAGTGCCAGATTTTGAATGTACAGGAAACAGAACAGGAAATGTCCGCTGTGTGATATGTACAGGTATCAGATATTTAGTTTGGATAACTCGTATAAAAGTTGATAACAGTCTGCCTCAAAATCTGATTATATTATGATACATTGCATTTTTATTCTATGACTTTATTATTGTGGGTATTTTTTTTTTATCTTATGAAACCAGATGTTTACATATAATCTAAATCATAATTAAAATTTCTTAATTATCTGATTTCATGCTTACAATATTGTTGAATCATAAATTTTAAAATGTCAAAATGTCTGCTTTAAAATTAAATCATTAATTGCAAGCCACAACACAAAAAACAAAAAAAAAATTAAATCTATCCTGATTTTGATAGACATATTAAAACATTTTATTTTTTTATTTAAAACATAACTGTTAAAAACATTTGGATCAATATTGCACAAAATAAACTTGGTTTAAAAAAATATTCAAATCTTATTGTTATTTAGACAACTTTTTTTCTATTTGATGCGTCAGAAGTTTCAAATATTGGAAACATAGTTTTGTGTTTCCATACATTTTATTTGGATTTGTTGATCTTTTGTAATTTTTGTTTTTACATTTCTCATGCACTAAATGATGCAACATCAATGCAACTATGTAAACCCTGCTTGTATAAAACTTCGAACAACATTTTTTTCAATATTAGGTTTAAGTGTCCTGTTTACAGTAGTTGATTTTCAGTATAGGCATATACTATAAGCATGATACACTTATTTTCACTAATTGTAGTATATACTTAATATGAAACTTGGAATGACTTAAATTTAAATTGAAATGAAAAGACATTTAACAAAAGTTATTTAAGCCATTTATATTTTTTAGTATACTGGAAACAGGATAAATACCCACTCTCTTTTTCTTTAAAGTCTTCTAAGCCATTCATCTAAAAGATCATCTAAAAGATATTTTGAAACTATTTTGTATTTAGTTTTTTGTAACCCTAACATTAACTCAAATAATAATTTTAACCCTATGTTTAACTTACTTCCTAAATAAATCCAGAAAATATTTTCCATATGGTATAGTTTTACTTTCATGAATTTTTTGGTAGAGCCCATTCCACCCTACACTAATTCTTATCTATCTTACACTTTCATATATTTCTGCTTATTAGAGGTGTACATAACAAGAATTTGTTTTGTTTCAATTGTTTCCATTATTATTTTTTTATATTCACCTTGATTGATTTCTCTGGTATTTTTATCCTCATCTGTTTGCCAGTAGTGCTGGGTGTCTGAGTCTACTCAGCTTAAATAAGTTACCAGATTCAAAATGTCAAGGTTTGTTGGGTTTAGTACCAAATTACAGAGGCGTAGCGAGGAGGGGGGGGGGTGGGGAGGGGGGTGCGGACCGCATCGGGTGACACCATTTAGGGGGGTGACACCAAGGCAAAAAATAGCAAAATATATAGAGAAACACTTGAGGGGGGGGGGGGGGGAGGTGCAAATCAAAAGTTTGAGGGGGTTTCAAATTGAAAGTTTGAGAGGGGGGGTGCAAATCGAAAATTTGAAAGTGACACCATTAAGTGCATCGGGTGACACCATTTAGGGGGGTGACACCAAGGCAAAAAATAGCAAAATATATAGAGAAACACTTGAGGGGGGGGGGGGGGGAGGTGCAAATCAAAAGTTTGAGGGGGTTTCAAATTGAAAGTTTGAGAGGGGGGGTGCAAATCGAAAATTTGAAAGTGACACCATTAAGTGCAGCGGCCAATAAAAGGGAAACATCAACTCTACTGTATCTTTCCGATAGATCAATTGGTCTAAAAGGTAATATTGTTAAACTGTAAAAGGAACCAAATATGGAAATGAACCCCAAAGGTCAAGCTGATCTTCAAATATGATTGGCTGGAAAAAATATTTATAAAATTGATTGTGTTGAAAATTAAAATGACCTAAATTTTATAACATTACAAAAATTCTGCTTCTTTTGAGATTTTTAAGAGCTGTTGTATATTTTAGAGGCGCATTTGTATGTGATTTCTTCCAAAAGAGAAATGTTTGTATGTATTACTGAATTGATAAACTTGTATGAACATTTACACCAAGCATTATCTGATACTCACTGTATGTATTTGAACTTTAAGCACATAAATATGTTCTTTTCTTTTTTTTACATTTCAAACTTTTTCTAAAATTTCAATGTTATTTTCAATCATTGTTTATGTAAAAAAAAAAAAATGGCTATAAGATTTGACATGAGCTGTGTGCAGTATTGGATATATCAGGTTATTAAAAAAAAGATATTTACACCAAAAATATGTTGTTTTTTTTAATTTCTTTTTAAATTATTTTTTATTAAATAAGAAATATGTTGTTGTTATGGCAGTAATTACTTGAAAACAGTGCGACTGATGCTAACCTGAAAGTCCCCAGCATTACTCTGAGGGTCATTCCCGATCTCACTGAAGTGATTGGCACCCAAGTCAAGCTATTGAAAGACTAGGTCCCTTGGCTAATGATTAACCTTACCACTACTATGAATGCCAAGATCGCTCAATCATATTAACTCTACTTCATCTACCTTATATGCGAATAACTGTCAAACAGGTGATTAACATATCAAACTTTTCCCTCTGCAATTAATGTACTCTCCTAACAAAACTTTCCAATTGACTGCTTACTGGACATATATTAGTATTATTAGTAGTTTACATTGTACACAGTTTGTTTATATTTCTACAATTGAAAAATGTTTACTAAAAATTAAAATAAAATATATCATTACTAAGATTTTTCAAATTATATTAAATCTCAAAGTGTATATTACTGAAGTTTTATGAAGTTATATTTAGTAGATATAGATCTAGTTACATGATGATTTTTACAACAAAGAAGAGAGAAATGATGTTGTCATCTAATGCCAGTTTTTACTTAAAATCAAAAAAAGAAATATTTGTTTCTGTGGTTTTTAAATGCTGTTATTAAATTGTTGTTTTCATTTGTTTATTTTAAAATGGCCAATGTGAAAAAAGGACCCTGTGCCTACAATTGTTACCGTCATTGAATAAATTGAATAAACTAAAAAAGAAATGTATTTAGATTTTGTCAAGAAAAATTAAAATGTTAATCAAGTGCATGTTTCCTTGAGAATAATTCCAAATTACGTGTTAAAAAATATAACTAAATTCTAAAAAATATTCAACGCAGTGGCGTAGGCAGGGGGATCATAACCCCCCCCCCCCCCCCCATAGACCCCTTCGGTATATATATAAAAAGTATGAGGGGGGGTGCACATCGAAAGTGTTTGAGCGGAGGGGGGTGCAAATCGAAAGATTGAGGGGGCGGGGGTGCAAATCGAAAGTTTGAGGGGGGTGCAAATCGAAAGTTTGTCCACGGGTAACAATTGGAACCCCTTCCTTGAGACGATCCTGGCTACGCCACTGATTAAACGTAAACATTGTCCAGTGAGTTTTTTTTTTTTACATAAACATTTTTGTAATTCCTTTAAACAATATAATGTTCAATTAAACATAAAACATTTCATCAATAGTAAATGAACTGCATGTTGTAATATAGAAAGGCATGGTCAAAAGTCTTGAAGCAGGAGGCTGTGTCAGCGTCGTAGCGAGGTCGGGTGTCACCCGGTGCGGCACTTAATAGTGTCACCCCCCAGAGGCGCAGCGACCCTTCCCGGGGACAAACTTTCAAATTTTCGATTTGCACCTCCCCTTAAACTTTCGATTTGCACCCCCACCCCCTCAAGTTTTTCTCTATATATCTTGCTATTTTTTGCCTTGGTGTCACCCCCCTAAATGGTGTCACCGGGTGCGCCCCCCCCCCCCCCTCGCTACACCTCTATGCTGGGCTAAATTCCTTAGTTATTCCCTGAGTCCACCAAGCTGAATGTTGAAGGTTGAATGGTGCCGAAATGTTGCTTTCAATCAAATTATTATATTTTGTTCCAAAAATATTTTAAACAAAATTTAAAATGATAAAACAAGGCCAAAATCCTCACTGGTAAAACCATTTTTTTTTTACTGTCGTATACATTTGACGTACCAATCAAAATGTTGACAGTTCTGGCTTCAAGCTCTAAAAAGTAAACTACAATTTACCTAACAAGAACAAAGGGAAGCAACAACGAGAATAAAAAAAATATAGTACGGATAATTAAATAATGAAATCAATGGAAAACATAACTGCGTAGGGTGGTTATGTACACAACCTTTTACAAATTAAATACATATTATTTAATCTTCAAATAAATTTGAGATTAGTTTTTTGTGAGATAATTATATTTTATAAAGTCTCAATCACACACACCTTAATTAAGTGATATCAGCAGCATTGGTGTACTGGAACAAAATTTTTCATCTTGTTTAATTATAAAACAATTTGCTCTTTAAAATTGACATCTTGCCTAATGACGAGCCTGGCGTAAAATTATATCTGGTTATTAAACACGAAATTGGTTATTTCAAGATGGTAAACAACTGAACAAACGAATTTAACAAACTGATTATGTACGTCTAAAAATGTAATGACAATAATTAGTTCTGATCAAAATTAAAAAAAAAAATTAAGCTACTAGACAAATAATTATATGGATAATTAAATTCTGCAGGTAAAATCTAATTGACTTTTTTCCCGATAATTTTACTGTGTAAATACACTATAATTATCAAGGCCAGATGGATCGTTAAATGAAAGAAATCGGGTGGAATGGTAAAAAAAACGTCTATTTAACTAACAATAAATAAATAATTGTGTAGAGTTAATTATATG